TCCCTTACAAGATGTCGAAATATTTCTAAGTGCCTACATTCTCATTAGCATATTCACCGAAATACGAGCGATAACACATTATCACAGGGAACCCATCTCCATTCATTCACGAAGTGACTGTTTAAGACAGATGGACTTTTTAAAAAGACGATCCGTCTATTTTCGTATGTATTGGACAACCCTCAACACGAATTGCTTAAAAATGAAAATAAGCATGTTATTGGAAAACAAAAACAAAAAAGGAGCAAAAGAATGGCAAAAAATGTCCATTAGTTAGGGAACAAAGCACTGACAAACAATAAACAGCAGAAACTTGACAACTTTTCGTCGCTATTTTATTTCAGATACAAACGTGCAACATTTCTCAGAGCAGCATGTGCAAATGGCGACAAACAGGCCAATAAAAACGCAACTGATATTTTCTTTGAATGGAAAAATGGCAAGAGGTAAAAACAACACATATAGTTATATTGTGGACGTACTTCGAATGTAATACATTCTGCAGCCGCATAGGTCGATTTGTAAAGGTGGTCGTAGTGTAGAGGTGGTCGAAGTGTAGAGGTGGTCGTAATGTAGAGGTGGTCGTGGTTCCAATGTTCGGTCGTTGAGTAATTGCTTCTTTTTTAACAGGAAACACATCGACGTCGACCTGCGATCGTTGGTCTATCGATACGGAATTGCTAACACCGGTGAAGAGGAATGGCAATGGATGTTCAACAAGTTCCTAAATACCAGTGATGTRACCGAAAAAAATACTTTGATGTCTGCTTTAGGATCGAGCAACAAACCATGGATTCTCAATAAGTACGACAATTACCCCTTATCGTCATCTGAATAAACCTTTTACACCATTTACAGRATCATTGCAACGCCTTCTGGCCTTACATATTCATTGTAAAATTCTCTACACAAAGTAGAAGTCTTGAGGTAATTAACGTATTGACTATGTGCTCTCCAGGTTCCTTGCCAGTTCGCTTGATCCTAAATTGATTCGTGCTCAGGACATGGTTAGCGTCATTAGATATGTTGCCTACAACCCTGTTGGTAAATATCTGGCTTGGAACTTTGCACAAGAACACTGGGGAATTCTACTGGATACGTAAGGGTTTTGTTGTTGCCCTAACTGTAAGTATACGACGCTAAACCATTTAACTGAGGCATGTTCGTCTAATTTCTAGATTCGGTACCGTTACCTTCCGTATGACGAGCCTGATGAATGGGATAACACACGCTTTTAACACTGAATTTGACCTCAAACAGGTAAAACTCTGCCTTTTTCTATCATACGATCTCTCATATCCTACCCATCCTCTTCTATGAAATTACTTTATTATCCGCAAAACAACAAACCCAACTGTCAATCATTTTGTCATTTTAGATGCAACACTTCTTCGATACGTCAGAGGCTGGTACTAGTGAAGTGGCTCGAAAGCAGGCTATTGAAAGAACAAAAACTAAAATTGCTTGGCTTAAAAACAATGAAGCTGAAGTCGAAGAATGGCTGAAGAAAAATATCTAATGGAAGTTGTTGGTAATCTTGTTAGTACACAGACTTTACGACTTTTAGAATGAAAGACTTTGCTCACTCTTTTTTATAAAGTTAGAACCATGATTTCGAAATAAAGTTTTTTAACGCATGATTGTAGTGTGCAGAACGGGTCATGCAGGTAGAGCATTTGAGCAAGACTGGGCCGATTGACAGTGATTTGTTTTCAAAAGTATTTTGACCATGGCCCCCTCAGCTCGGCA